AGGCTACCTGAAGCTGAGGTGCGGTGGGGAATGCTCTCCCCACAGGATGTAGCAATCTGGCTCATGTCCTAGAGAGCCCTTACAGCTGAGCTCTGCTATGTTCCCTTACAGGAACTTCCTAGCAGAATTATCCTCTTCTTCTGTCGCACTCTTCTGGAGGGGAAGCCCCTGCAGACATGTAACAATCTCCTCCTCCAGTTCCTGAGAAAGGTTGTCACTGTTTTCAGCTCAGTCCTTTTATCATTTTGAGGTGACACAATTCAGCCCTGGGGCTATCCCTTCCCACTCCATCAAGCACATCTTCCTCAGACCTCCAGCTGTCCTTCTTAAAAGGGAAAACCCTCTGTGCTCTCTAGTTGGTGCTTCCGTGGGCCAGGGGTGGCATCTGGAGCCATCTAAAGAAGTCAAGTGGCTCCCCAAGAAGCAATGATATCAGTGAATTCAGAAAGTCAGGAGAATGTGAGTAACATCTACACTTAAGTCAGAGACCCATAGGAAAGTTTTCGCCCAAAGACATGGACAGGGAATGGTGGGTGTTAAGGAGAGAAGGACCATGATTCTATTTTCATGTTTATAAGATCAGTCGGGTTACAAGACGGAGAATGTGATCAACTCATAGCTGCAGCTCTCACCCAACAGACACTGGCCAGAGCAGGATTTGACAAGTGTAAATAGATAGATGTGGAAGGTTCTAGGGCTGTCTTGGGGGAGATCCTGGAGTTGATAATCAGGTGACTGTGTGGACGAGAAGGAGATGACAAAGGTGAGGAGCATCCAAACAGACCCACAGAAAGTAACTGATCAAGAAATTTCTTGTAGTGCATGAGACATTCCCTGGGGAGCAAAGGATCCAGTTCTTAACAAACGATTTGGACTTGCTGTTTCCAAAGGAAGAATTTCTGAATGGGCTGAGCTGTCTGCAAAGAATAAAGGCAGGCTTAGAAAGACAGCGCCATAAATTAAACCGCTACTTGTCTTGACGGTACAAAAAAATAATGTCTCCCACCCCTAACTCTGTTCTTGGTCACAAAGGCCTTTGTTGGAGTGAACAGGCGGGAAGGAACTGATAAGAGCCCAGGTTGGAGAAGATCTGCATGTGAATGAGGCCTTGTGAGATCCAAGCACTTTAAGTTTGCTGAAACCCATCCCATCCCACTGAGAGGCTCCAAAGTATGAATGAAAAGAAAACCCATTTCCATCAGCGACTCTCAGCACGGCGTGAAAATGACTGCTTCGCACTGAGTTCTTTCCCGTTCGAAACTCAACTGGAAGACAACAAACTACGCATTGAGATGCACTAAGAGATCACCCAACTTCCTCTGTCAGGCACGCTATCCCATCAGCCTCTTCTTTCTTCTGCCTCCCATATTTCCCAGCATACCGCTGGGTAAGCACCGACTCTGTGGAGACTACAGTCACTCTAATTTATGGAGACTCCAGAGCAAAGAGAAGAGTTTAAGAATAGAATTTAATCACCCAGGACTTCCCTACGAGTCTTTCTGATATTCATTCCCATTGTGGACTAAAGATCAAGATGACTGCCACTGTTTAAATGGAGCTTGAGTGTTTTATCCAAGGGAAAGTTTGGTATTTAGGGTGGCAATATTAAAGGGTTGTGGGGCCTTTAAGAGGTAGGAATGTTAAACACTAAGCTTGACATGAACATGTAAGGACAAATTCCTATACTAAAGCACGTTCAGAGGACCATTTCCTTTTGTTTTAGATAGAAAATTAAAAAAAAAACTTTTTGGAGAAAACTGAGCATGGCCACAGGCATTCCTGCCTGACTTTTAAAGTCACAAGCTTAGCATGTGCCAAAGTGTTCATGTCCAACATTTTAACTTTTTACACATGTATTCCATAACCTTGAGCTATGCATGGCAAGATATAGCCTCCATATTTCTGAACTATGACCTTAAATTGAACAGGCCCAGAAATAAACTTTAACTGAGCATGCTCAGGAATGTGCTTGTCCCTAGCGTGTGTTCCTGTACATACAGACCCCCCCAGGAAACTGTCCTCATGCTTTATGGGGTCATAGGCTTCGATTACTTTGGAAATAATCCCCATATTCTCCTTCCCAGCTAAAGGTCACAAATCTCTTTCCACTCTTTTATTTCCTGGCCATGCTGGTTTGGGTTTTGTCCTCACCGAGATGTGACTTCATGTCTGGTTACAGAACACAGTGAAAGAGTCTCCGGTCATTGGGACCTGTGGGTGGTTTGGATGAGAAGTGACCCCCATGGTCTCAAGCTTTTGTGCACTTGGTTCCCAGTTGGTGGCGCTGTTTGGGGGAGATTTGGGAAGTGCGCCTTGCCTGAGGAAGTGCATCAGTGGGGAAGGAACTGGAGAGCTTAGATCCCCAGCCACTTCGTTTGCTTTGTTTCAAGATGTGTCCTCTCAGCTTCCTATGCCTGCTGCCTATTGCCTACTGCCATGCTGCCCTGCTCTTGTGGACCATACTCCCCTGGAACCACATAAGCCAAAATACAGGGAGTTCTATCACAGCCGCAGACGAGAAACTGATCCGGGACCCCTGGGAAAGCTCCACTCTTGTAAGACCCTTTGATGAGGTCTCAGGAAAATGAAAGAACAAGCAGCCTGGGCCTCCGCTTCTTTGGTTTGCTGCAAAGTCATTTCATCTCTTCGTGTGTACTTCTACCCCTGAACTGTCACCCACCACGAGTTCTCATCCGAGCTGGCCCAAGGCTAGCTCTATGCCCTAGGGATTTCTACAGCACTAATATAAACTTATTTTAAATAAGGGCACAGCTTTGTGTCATTATAACAGAAAAAGGAACACAATGGTGTACCTTTCACAGACGGTTTACCTGTTAGAAAGGCCCCCATGAATTCGGGGGCTGTTTCTGTTTCAGACTGTAAATATGTTCTGTTGACCCTGACCTTCGACTTATAGCTAGATAATCCCATGGACAGGACCCAGCCAACTCAGCAAAGAATTGTAGTTGACTGTGGCAACCAAGAAAGCCAGCCAAGCTGATGGCCAAATGATAAAAGACAGGAAAGGTGGGATGTTCAACTCTCCAAATGCAAACCTTTGGGACTCAGCTCCAAGATCTACCTTGCAAAAAGAAAGCTTCAGTATTCAATGAGGGCCCAGTGCTGGACTAGAGGCAGACCTAGAGTTGGGATGCCTCAAGGAAAACTTCCTATAAGATTGAACAGTAAGGGGCTGGAGAGATGGCTCAGTGGTTAAGAGCACTGACTGCTCTTCCAGAAGACCTGGGTTCAATTCCCATCACCCATATGGCAGCGCACAACTGTGTGTGACTCTAAGATTTGACACCCTCACATAGACATACAGGCAGGCAAAACACCAATGTACATAAAATAAAAAATAAGTAATATTTTTTAAAAAAAAGAATGAAAAGTGAGTCTCACAGTTCCACCAGGAGTTAGATTCCGCTAGACAATCTGACAGATTGCGCTGTGCTGTACAATGAAGCAATGTTCTCAAATAAATCTCCCCTATGCCATAAAAATGGCATCTTATGGCTTGTCTGGGTTGTTTTTCATCCATTTAGATTCTGACCGACAGAGAAAGTTGACATGGCTAAAGTGTATTAAGTTCTCTGAGCAGTCTCAGTTCCTGAGACAACATTCAACTGCTGTATATAGATTAGTCCAAGCTAGATACTGGGGACACAATGCTTAGGAGAGTGTGCCTTTTGTCTTCCTGTGGTCTAGGGTAACAGACTCAATTTGGTTTCATCAAAAGACAAAAGTAACCCCTTCCCAATACACACACACACACACACACACACACACACACTGGGGTTATGTTATTACACTGACTTAAACAGATGTGATATTTTATGATACCCTGAGCGATGAATTAATTTAACAAACAGAGGAGGAAAAAACGACTAAAGCCCAGAGACTCATCAACAAGCAGTTCCCATGTTTCAGATTCTGATGGCGTGAGTAGAACAATGACTGGCCTTCTCCCGTTCATCCTTCACTTGTCCCCTCTGTGTGCAGAGCAAACGTGCCCCTGACCAGTGAGAGAAAAACCTCTCCTATGGTTACCCCTCCTCTGGGATTTCTGATGCTGCTGTGGGGAGTAGCACTTGTCAAGTTCTCCAATCTGGAAAACAGGCACCAAAACCACCTTTTAGAGACTAGGAACCTGGCAGTGAGTCTCACAGAAGGAGTCTGACCTGGTCTGCAGTAGAAGGCCCACTCAGCTTGCCTATCGGTGAGTGTCTGGGAGTTTTTGTTTCCACGTCTGTTAGAGATGAAAAAGCCCACCACATAGGGTCCTAAGAGTGCCAAGGGTCACAACATGCCAAGGCCTCCAGGAGAGGGGTGGTTTATAGTTCTTGGCTTAATGTCTAAGGAACTTAGCCAAATAATCCTTTAAAAAAAATCTATGGACTTTGCATGTTAACAATGACTCCATGTAGATTCATCAATTTTTATAAATTTTGGTAGGAGATGTTTATGAGTTTGAGCAAAGGTCTACAGGAACTCTGACTTTAAGCTCAATTTTGTCTAAAGACTAAAGTGTGCCCCGCCTCAGCCCCTTGCTTTTTTCCTATGGTAGCCTAGATAAGTCCTTAAATTCACAATCCTCCTGCCTCAGCCTCCTGAGTCCTAAAAATACAGAAATGTACCACCATACCTAGCTAAGTAGAAAGGAGAAAAAATGCAAGGGTTGAAAGAGAAAGGGGGATTGAATAATAAGGAAATTGACGAGGAAGGAGGAGAAGAAAGGAGGACAGAAGGCAGAAGAGGAAGTAGTAAGTTAAAAGAGTAAGGAGGAAGGAGGACGAGAAGAAGCCAAAACTCTACGCTGGGGATGGCTGGCCCCAGCCAACGCTGCCTTTATTGTGTCTCTGGGTGTAGGATGACCCTTTCTCTGCTGTTCCACAGGCATGCGCTGGGGGGCGCTGAAGGTGAGGAGACAAAGAAGGTTGAGGGTTCCCTCCGGCCTTGTGTGCTGTGCTTGACTGATCTCAGTGTCTGCTGCCACGGCCTCAGACCCTGCTGGGCTTCTTGGGGTCTTTGTTGTTATTGGCTGGCATGAAGGCATACAGCTCTTCAATAAGCATCTCCATCCGGGCTGTGACCTCAGTCACGGTGTCAATGACCAGGCGCTGCTGCCTTTTCAGCTTGTTGTTCTCCCACAGGGCCTTGTTCTCCTCCTGGAAGACGCGATGCTCCTCACGCAGGACGTGCAGAGCTCGGTTCTCCTCCTGCAGCAGCCGGTTCTCCTCCCTCAGGGCCTGCAGGGCCTGGTTCATCTCCCTCAGCAGCTGCAGAGACTGGGTGCTGTCACCTAGGCTGGGGGCGACCTTGCCCTCCTCCTCCCCCGAGGAACCAGATAAGTTGTTAACCATCTCCCTCAAAGCACGCAGTGTCTTAGAGTCCTCCTGTGTTGCAGGGGGCCCTTTGGGTTCCTCAAACGCGGCCGAGAGGCCTGGGCTCTGATCTGGGTGAGGCTCCTCTTTGGGTGAGGAGATGGTCTTGCTCTCCTCGGCAGCAGTGGCATTGTCTTCTGCCTGGGCCCAGTAGGCCTGCCTCTGTTCCAGCAACTGCTGGAGGGCCCGGTTCTCCTCTCGAATGAGCTGCAGGGTGTTTTCCTTGCTACGCTGGGCTGGCAAGGTGACATTCTCTTTCTTCACCGCTTCCTGGGAGGCTGCTTCTTTGTGCAGCAGGGGCGCTGAGGACTGACTCTCCTCTTGGCCCAAAGTGACCTTGTGCTCCTCCCAAAAGACCTGCAGTATTTTGTTCTCCTTGCGGAGGGCCTTGTTCTCGTCCCTCAGGGCCCTGTTCTCATCCCGTAGGGACTTGTTCTCCTCTTGTAGCACGTACTCCTTGGCCAGCCTCTTGTGATGCAGTTTGTGGTGGAAAGAGGAGGAGGGGGAGAAGTAAGGGGACTGTAGGCGGCAGCTCTCATTCACCCACCGCCCGTCCTGGAAGACAAACATCTCGTCGCTGAGCTGCACCCGGGGAGGGTTGTAGTCCAGTTCCAGGTCTGCCTGGGAGGTGGGGCGCTCCATGGGGTCAAAAGGCACAGAAGAGAAGCGGTTGAGTGGGTAGGAATGCTGGCTGACTACCCTGCGGCTCATCCGGGGCAAGGCGGCCTGCCGGGAGCATCGAGGGGTGCTGTACAAGTTGTGAAGCCTCAGGAAGGGCTCGTTGGTGCCCCTCTGTGGGAGAGAGCGGGGAAACAGTCAACGGAGGAACTGGTAAAGTACCTGCTGGTGGACTGCGAGGCCTAGGGACCCCTCCCCTGAGCTCCGGGATCCTCATAGGAAACTATAGACAGCCTTTGTTAGTCTGGGTGGGTACCTTTCTTCTTGAATTAATGGATGGATACTGAACCACGGTTCCCTAGGGGAGATACTGGGCTAGCTTTCTATAAGGCTCTGGCCATAAAAATTCTCTCAGTCGATCATTGTGTTTCTATTACAAGCCTATAACCCGCCTAAGTAGAGGTGGTGCAGGCAGGAACATAACCAGAGAACTTCGAGGCTATCCTGGTCTGCATAGCAAGTTCAGGACAACCAGAAGTAGAGAAAGACACTGTCTCTGAAAATGAAAACCCACAGATAATAAGGTCCAATCATATGGTAGAAACTAAAGGCATGGATTTTAGAAACAACCTTTTTTTTTAAAAAAAAAAATTATTTATTTATTAAAGATTTCTGCCTCCTCCCCGCCACCGCCTCCCATTTCCTTCCCCCTCCCCCGATCAAGTCCCCCTCCCTCATCAGCCCAAAGAGCAATCAGGGTTTCCTGCCCTGTGGGAAGTCCAAGGACCACCCACCTCTGTCCAGGTCTAGTAAGGTGAGCATCCAAACTGCCTAGGCTCCCACAAAGCCAGTACGTGTAGTACTGGCTTTAAAAAAAACAAAAAACAAACAAACAAACAAACAAAAAAGACCTGTCCTTGCTACTTATCAGTTTTAAGAATTTGGGCAAGTTGTGTGACTTTCCGTTTCTAAAATTTTAACTTAGGATAACCACGCCTCCTGGAAGGTGTCAGATCCCTCAGAGCAGGGAATTGCAGGCATCCGCGGGCTGCTCAGCTGGTTATCTGGTTGCATGTGGTCTACGCAATTCACTTAATTCTCACCACACTGGCAAATAAAGTATTTTTCCAGCTCGAACATCCCTAACCTGAAGAATCTCACTTCCAAAGTGCTCCAGATTCTGAAGCTTCCTGAGCATCCACGTGACGCCATAAGGGAAAATTCCACACCTGCCTTTCATGCAAAGACACAGGTGCACTAAAACAAGTGCACGAAATTATTATGATTTGTAGATGACATACAGATATAGATATGGATTTAATGTTTCTGCATGGGCTCCATCCCTGAAAACCTCCCTCCCCTTCTATCTCCATGTAAATATTCAAATATTCTGAAATCCACCCCCCTTTTAGACGCTGCCTCCTGCACATAGCATCCATGATGGGTGGTTTTAATCATCAATTTGACACAATCTAGAATCACCTGGGGGGAAAGAATCTCAGTGAGGAATTATCTGGATTAGGATGTCCTGTGAAATACCTAGAAGGGGTTTTCTTTTTCTTTTCTTTTTGAGAGATTTTGTTGCTTGGGTTAATTGATGTGGAGAGATCCAGACCATGGTGGGCCAGAACTCTCAAGGAGAAATCTTCCTAGATGGAGTTCCTGGGGTTGCCGACCTTCCCCCTAAAGAGTTTGGGAACAGGACTGGACAGCGAGCAGCTGACATGCACTGCTGTGGTCTGAATGTGTCTTTTATATTTCTCGTGCTGGAACTTAATCCCAAAGGTGCATGCTAATGGTGTTTGAGAAGTGAGACCTTTGCAAGGTGGACTGGGTCATGAGGAAACGGATGACCCCCATTCGTGGGTCAAGGGGCTGTTGTCGGAACCTTCTACCAAGTGAGTTCTCTGTGGCTTGCTGTATCTCACCAAGTGATGCCCTCTACCATGTTGAGACACAATGGAAGGTCCTTGCCAGAAGATGACCAGCAGCTAGGATAGTGTCACGTCTTGCTCTTTATTCTGTGAGCGCTGTCTGGCCTTGGACACTTTGTTATAGCAACAGAAAACTGAGAAAACAGCACTGAAGTTCCCCCCCTTCCATGAAAGACGTAGCTACTACCACCCAGGCGAGATGTCCACCTGCCCCAAGAAAACCCAAGCCAGTCGAACAAGCTTTTAAAAGTGGCTGCTTTGCCAACACTGTTGAGGGTTAACGAGTAGGGGAAGCTCAGCCGGTTGAAGTGCTTTTAATGCATGTGAACCTGAAGGGTACCAGGGTCCTAGAATGAAAAACCACAGTGCTAACTTTTAATGCTAACAGCTGAGTCCCACTGTCATAAAAGAAAAAACAATCAACAAAAAAAAAACCTCTCACCTCTCTAATGATATGCTAAATAGCTAAATACAGTGTTTGCTTTAATAAATGCTAACAGATGAAAAGATAATTCACAAGGTAAAAGTGATTAGTTTTGATAGACTTTTAATGCTAACAGCAAAGAGAATAAAGAAGATTGCCAGAATAAAGAAGATGCTAATTGACAGGCTCTCATACAATCTTGCTCTGAAGCTATTTCAGCTGGTGTTGCTGTGAGCCAAAGAGGAAGGAGAAAAAGACAAAGGGAAGTGGAGTGGGCACTGGGAAGTAGTGCCAGAGAGCATTCTGATCCAGATGTATTCTGATCCAGATGTGGAACTCTCATTGATGACCTAAGACTAGTCTTTCATTGACAGTCTAGCACTGAAGGACTTAATGAAAGGCACGGAGAGCTCACTGGGAGGCTTGAATGCCTGGAAGAGTGAGTCTCCGTGTAGAAGGGGATTAGTTGCTTGGGCAGAAAATAACACTATAGCTCACAAGCTAATGTGCTAGAAGAAAACAGATGTGAAAATGCTCGTGTTCAGCATGAGGAAGAAAAATGCAAAATCAATAAGACCTGAAAAGACCTAAAGGCGATAAACTAGTGAATCATGGCCTTTGCAGTGTGATTGAGAACTCCAGCCACCCAATAGGGTTGGGAGCTGGGAGCCAGAGGTACTGTCATAATGCCCTTCCAAAGGGAATGAACTCAACTCAGAATGAAGCTACCTGGGGCAGAAACATACAGGCAGCCTGGGGGTTAGCGAGAACAGTTCAGGTAAGAGGAGAGGATGCAGAACTTTTAGAAGCAAGAGAAGAATTAGAGCTAAGGCATCACCTGGCCCTGCTAAGTACCAATGACAGGCATGACACTGACCTGGGTTCCATCTCAGCTCTGTCCTTGTGACTAAGTCTCCCATTTCCCAGAGCTGTGAAATCTCTGCTTTACACTTGTGCGGCCCTGTGGCCAGCACATGACACCATCAATGATCCCTCAGTATCCTTCCTCACCTTGTTACTCATAGCAATCCTGCCCCGCCACCCCCACTATCTCATTTGGGGAAGCACATGAGCGTACAGGCCTCTCTCACAACCCTATAGGTAGGATCAGTTAATATCTAGTAATCCATGCCTACCTCCCTACCCAAGACCACCAGTCGAGGGTATCCTGGCAGGTTGCCTGGCTTGTGCCTGTAACCATCCTGGCAGAAATGAAGATAGTCTAAAGAAATACCCTCCATTCTTCTAGATATCAGATGATTGAAACAATGGACCCCAAGAAATTTCTCTAGTAGTCTTATGTTTGGAGAAGGTAAAGACTGAAGGCTGATTGGAGCCAGTCAGAGAGGAAGATTATCTCTCAGAAAGAGATTTCACAGAGTCGTGATAACTTTTCAGACCACCCTGCAGAAGAGACTGGGGGTGACCCAATGATGCTGGGCTGGACCACGCCCAGACCAGTGCTGCTTAGCTACCTGAACCTCTGTGACTCTACTTAAACCCAAACTTCCTGTCCAAGATGGACTTGGAGGATCACTAGACCTCCTAGTTACTCCTTCCAGGGTTGCCACATTGAAGAAATCTCCTCTTCCTGCTTTTCAACACCAGCTGATTGCTTAAGTGACCTATAGGTGACCGCTGACTAAGCCTAGCTAGCGTACTCAAGGCCACATCCAGCCATAAAAGATCTCCAGGCAGCAGTGGTCCCTTCATTCCATATCCCTCTGTCATCCAAGATCCAAGACCCAAGGTCCCACAGCACAGGAAGTAGGCCTGAGGGGACCGGAACAAACCCAAGACTTCTCAATCCCCCTTTCCTCCTTGACTGCTAAACTGGTGCTGGGAGCTAGGGACAGAAAGTCGTGCCAGGGGTAGATGGATCTTTCTAATCTTTTTATCATGTGACAGTAAGGAAAGGGTAGGGACTTTATGGTCAGAACTGACAGAAGGGAGGCCCATACTGCAGATGGTTAGTGTTCATGATCTAGGATCCTGGACTGAATAAAACAGGTTGATCTTCCACGATGTGAGGCAGTGGCCCCGCCCCCGCAGCTTCCTCTTCACACTGGTGTTGTCCCTTGAACCAAGAACCAAAATGAAGACTTCCTCCCTTAACTTGCTTCTTGCCGGGTCTTTGGTCACAATGCGAACAGTCATATCACTACTTTCAAATGTTATTCCCAACCCCTTTCTTACTCCCACATCTAGGCCAGTGTCTCTTGTCTGCCCCTACATGCCCAAGGAACCATGTCCACCCTCATTTTGTCTACTAGGGATCAGATCCAGCCAGGTTCCTTGTCCTTCTATAGCATGGCAAGGGCATAGTTAGCTAATGTTCTGGCTTAGCTTTCACGAGCTGAAAGAGACGTAACTAACAGTGGCTGCTCACCACAATGCTGTAAGGGAAACAAATACCCAGGCTGTCCCCTTGTCCTGTAGTTTTGCCTCCTCCTGACCACATTTACTGAGCTTGCTATAATCACACTAATACAGAACACCAGCTAGAGATCCCTCCTCTTTCGTTCGTACCTCCCTAGACCAAACTTTTGGGTAAATTACCTGTGCCTTGGGTCCCTCCATCCTACATTTCACCTCCACTGGCTGCATGACCCTGGTCTTCCAGTGAGCTCTTGGGTGACTCTGGAGAAAGCAAGGCCACCCCCTTTGTGACATAGCAGCAGAAGGAACAGTTAACTAAAAGGGGTTCCCCCCCTCCAAGACAGCTGCTGTGTGCAGGAGACCTGGAAACCACAAGTTGTAAGGGTTTTAACCATTCACTGGCCTCAAAAGAAACAAGTAAATGTCCCTCCTCAGTAAACCATCTTTGAGCTATAGCAGGGCTGGATTCTCTTGAGGGCTGCAAATGGGCCGCATGTTGGGGTCTCAACTCCTGTGTTTACTCTCAAGCATCTGGATTCAAGGTCAACTCCAGTTGTCCACAGATATCCAGAATGGTTATATGCCACCATGCAGGGGAGGTGCTCTTTGGTAAGGTTAGAATTTTCTCACAATATCATCTATCCTTGAAAGGCTAGCTAGCACTGGAGAACCTGACCCTCCAACCCAGTCCCCTCATTCAAGGCCAGAGGATCCCAAGGTGCAGAGAGTCCATGTATCTTCTCCTAGACACGTAGCCAGGAAAAAAAAAAAACCAATATGACAAGAATTTGAGCAGCTGACTTCTCTGTTCATCCTGTAAGGTTTGGAAGCAGGGTTATTCTAGCGAAAATTGGTTAAGTTCTATCCTCCCGTGATCGTCCCTACCTGAGGTAGAATCACATTGATTGGAATTTCTAGGCTTTCAGATCTGGTATCTCTCTTTCTTGTAAAATTAGGCCTGGAGTGCTGCGGAAAAAAAAAATTAGATTTCTCCTTCCCAACCCATCCTCAGGGCCTCAGTGGCTCACCTGAAACCCATAACTACTTTCTACACGTTTATACCCTTCTTACCAATTATATCCCTTATAAAACATCTCAGCCTAAAGGTGTGTGTAGAAGGTACCTACCCAGAAGTCTTACTGATCACTGAACAAAAAATTAAGACAGGGATTAAATGATATAACCCTCTTGCAAGTCTTTGAAGCAGAGATCACTTCAGCTCTTCCTGGTTTTGAACTATTATTTCTATGTAAAGTAAAAAGCCATACCAACGTGAGGTGCCAGGTATAGGTCCTATGCATAAACTGGTCGCCAAAACACTCAGAACATTCCAGAGGTGACATCACAGAACAATATGGTGCTTTTCTGAGCTCATGGTTTCCCTCTGAGCATCTCAGGTGGGAACAGGGCTTCTGCGGGAAGGAAGAATTGCCGCTGGCTGTGCCCGGGTGTCCGGCCCGGGTCAGTGTGACACACAGTAGCCCTAACACCAGCCTTTGTTTGGTCAGCCTCGCTGCCATGCACACCTCATGGCCAGGCTGGCTTGAAACTCTCCATCTCCATTCAAAGGTGGCATCTACTTCAACCATATTACTCAGGAAAGGAGAAACATTAACTGTCCAGACCTGGTAAGGTTTGGTACTACAGAGGGCGCCTTCAGTTCAGTTCCTCTCCAATATAGGTACATGGACTTAGTATCAGGTCCCAGAAGTTAGGGGCTCAGCCCTGCAAGATGACCTTTATTTCAGGTACCAATCCCAGACCAGGGCTACCTACACTCGTAACTGGTTAGCTGTGCAGGGGCTCCCTTGACCTGCTGCATGGGTTCGATCGTTGTCTTCAGAACTCAGGAAAGTGCTTTACTTAGGATCACAGCTTTATTACGAAGCACGCAGCTCAGAAATGGCCAAATGGTAGTCATGAAGGGTGGGGTACTGGAGGGTGATGTTGGAAAGCTTCAGGCCTTCTCTGGACCCACCCGCCTCCCAGCATCTTCACCAGTATCTGAATCCTGTTGTTTGTAAAGTTTCATTAGGTAGGCAAATTTAATTAAATCATTGGCCTTTGATCATTTAACTAAAGCCAAGTCTTTCCTGCTTCCCCAGAGGGGGAAGTTTGCTGAAAATTCCAACCTTCGAATCACCTGATTGGTTCTTCTGGCAATCATCCCCATCCCCACCCCCAACCCTGCCAAAGTCATGCAGCTAACATAAACTGATGTGTGTTCCAATGAGGTCCTGTCAGGAAATCCCAAGGGTTCTGGTACAATTATACAATTAAGGCCACAACATCTGGTCCCTCCATCCTTAATTCTGTCAATTCCATGACCTCCAGAGCCCTTCGAGAGAACTCTCTTGTGTTTCCAGAGTCCCAATTCCATGAGATTTTGGCCCCTTGGAATAGGAAGAGAGTGATGACCCAAAATGAGCAGCCCCAGAGATGCTAGAACTAACCCCTTGAGTCCCTAACACCCAAATTACAAGCAAATCTTGATATAAGAAAATTCAAATGTACAAAAGCTGAAAGCGGCACCTAGAGAAAAATCCAAGTGACTGATTCCGTTGCCAAAAAATTTATGTCTTCAAGGAAGTTTTTTAACCGTGTGCGTGTGCGTGCGCGTGTGTGTGCGTGCGTGTGCGTGCGTGCGTGTGCGCTGCGTGTGTGTGCATGTGTGTGTGCGTGTGTGTGTGTGCCTGTGCGTGTGTGTGCATGTGCGTGTGTGTGTGCGCGTGTGCGTGTGTGTGTGTGCGTGTGTGCATACGCTGGTACATGAGATCAGACTGACAACCTTGGGTGTCAGCCCTCAGCTGCCATCCATCCTGTATTTTAAGACACTGGCCCCGAACTTGACAAATAGGTGAGGTGAGGCCAGTGAGCCCAGGGATCTGCCTGCATCCACCTTGCCAGCCCTGCCTGACAAGAGGGGGCCTCAGCAGGATTTTTAGGACCTTTTTCTTTCTTCTTTTTTTTTTTTTATTCTGATTTTCGAGAAAGGTTTTTGGTTCCTGTCCTGGAACTAGCTCTTCTAGACCAGGCTGGCCTTGAACTCACAGAGGCCTGCCTCTGCCTCCCGAGTGCTGGTATTAAAGGCGTGCGCCACCACCGCCCGGCTTGACCTTTTTCTTTTTTACATAAGATTGGGTGATCAAATTCAGGTCCTTACAATTGCATGGCAGGCACTTCACTGAGCGAGCTACAAGACTTACTTAGTTGATTATGAAATTGTGGTTATTAATGCAGAGCACTGAATTTGCCGAATTTGCCATCTTTGCCATCTTTAAGTTTCTAGTTCAATAGTTTTGAGTATATTCACGTCGCTGTGTAAGAACACTCTAGAATTCTCTCCTCTTGGGAAACTATGACTTCTATTAAGCCCTAATTCTCCCTCTTCCTTCTCACCAGTCCTTGGCGGCCACATTCCTATTTTCTGTTTCTATGATTTAAACCACATTAATGTCTAAGCTAGGGTTTCTATCGCTGTGATAAAACACTGTGACCCAATGCAATTTGGGTTTATTTTATCTTACGCTTCCAGGTAACACTTTATCACTGAGGAAAGTCAGGGCAAGAACAAAGGCAAATTTAATGGGAGGAGTGCTGCTTAGTGGCCTGCTCCCATGGCTTGCTCGGCATGGGTTCTTAGAGCACTCAGGACTGCCAGCCCAGGAGTAGCGCCAACCACAGTGAGCTGGGCCATGCCATGTCTACAGTCATCTCCACAAGCTTGCCCATGGGCCTGTCAATGGTCCCTGACAACTTTCCTCTTAGATAACTCTAGCTTGTGCAAAGTAGAAAACCCAACCAACCAACCAAACAGCTACCAAGCACAACGAGATGTGTTATGTGCGTGGAATTACAGAGTCTCGGTTCTTTCCTTCTTTTGAAAGGCTCGAGGACATCTCACGGTGTGCAGGTGTCATTTGGGTAGTGTCTGTCCCCTGGCTGCTGCAAACACTGCTGCAGTAAACTCGAGGGTGCAAACATCTCTCTGAGACTCTGCTCTGGATTATTGTGGGTACGTACCCAGAAGTAAAGTTGCTCAATGACAAGGTAATTCCATTTTTAATTTAGGGGGGGTCCCTCCTCACTGTTGCGCATAGCACCTGTTTTATTTAGCCTTCCCACCAACGGGAGACTTCCCATTTCCCCATGCCCTCACCAACACTCACTGGTCTCAGCAGGCCATACCTGTGCTGCCTGAAAGCATGGTCTCATTTCTCCTCATGCACGTTCCCCACAGAAATTCCTGCACACCCCTGGATGCAGAGGAGTCTAAAGTCACCGGAAGAACTAATGCCACCAACAAACTGAGGCCTGGAGGGGGCTCCCTGATACAAAATTTGCTCCCAACCCCTCGAGTGGAATGTCTACCGGCTGACACACAATTGGTACTTCTGCTGTGAGCGGTCAAGAAAGGGCCATGCCAGAGCCTCTGCGAGGGCCTCTTTATCGGCTCGCTGGATGGATTGATTTTCACTTTTATTTTTAAAGAGACATTTTACCTGGGCCATTCCAGTTGCCAAATTCCAGTTGCCCCAAATGCCTGTTATTACTCGGGTTAACGCAACCCTCAATCACATGTGTTCCACAGACCTCCCAATCAGAGTTTAACCACGTGGTGGATGGAGGGAAACAGGGCTCCTGTAAATTGTTCTCTGACCTTCATTCAAATACACACATGTATTTCAAATAATGCCATTTTATTTATCTCATTCGTTTATAATGCAAAAAACACATTTTTTTCATCAAAAGGTAATTTATCACTTTTCCTCGGGTTCGTGGGCCACCAGCTCATGATGGAAAGGGGAGCAGAAGCAGCAAACAAGGTTCAGATGGCCGTGAGTGTGACAGAAAGAACTGGGAGCCAGCTTCAGAGAAACAGATCATTTTATTGCTCCAGGAGTAAGGTATATAATAAGGATTCAGGGACGGGCCATGCCACAGCACCTAGTTATCATACAGGTGGGAGGAAAGAGCCAGACTTGTGTGCTGAGTCATCCAGCATCTGCAGGGAGCTCTGCACAGGGTCATCCTCCAAATAAGGTCAGGATCTGAGCTTAGAGAGACTCTCCAAATAAGATTAGACAGAGGAGCGGAAGCCCCAGGAGAAATGGAGTCCCCCATTTTGCACTGAGCTCAGGGAGCTATCTGGACATGGTGGAGTGCAACCTGAACAGCAGGGTTCTCCAACACCTCCCCCTGTTTTATTTTATGATGGAGAGGAGTCATTATAGGTTCTGAGAGCCTTATAAACTGTACTGAAGGGGTCCAGGGTCTGATAGTGGACCATAGCCTGATGGGTGATAATTCTAGCAATAGTGGTAATCTGTCATGGGAGATGTTGTACAAGGCAACGAGCAAGCATCAAAATAAAATACAGCATAACTGGGGGCTAACAAGAGGTAGGAGCAAAGAAAAGGAGTTATTGAACCAACCTAATTGTTCAGTGGGTTGGAATTGGTTTTCACATCATTTGATTTTTTACATAAAAAGCAACATTCTTCTCCCAATACTTCGCAAGTGCCCCCATGTACAACAGTTACCAAATCCAGGGTCCAGATATTCTCACCTGTTGGAACCACAGTGCAGTTAAATGTGCTTCCCATCCTTCTTATGAGCCAAGCATCAGAGTAAGTTCAGTTTAGTTGGCGTTCTGCAATAAGTACCTACCATCCCTGAAGAGGCTACTCAGAAAGATCTGAAAATCTAAATTAAAAGGTTTATTATTGACGTGACATCCCTTGTGAGGCAGTGGTGGCACACACCTCTAATCCCAGCACTTAGGAGGTAGAGGCTGGTGGATCTCTGAGTACAAAGCCATCCTGGTCCACAGGGTGAGTTCCAGGACAGCCACAGCTACACAGAGAAACCCAGTTTTGAAAAATAAAATAATAAAATAAACGAAATATTACTGATTGTAATTTCTAAATCATAATAATCAATATTCAAACTTATGCCCAAAGGATGCAAAGGTTCTGGTAAAGCTTCCCTGTGGAATTTCCACTTCTCCTCGTGTTACTCAGTTATTCTCAGTGGCTAGAAAGGTGAAACTGTTGCATAGTGTGTGTGCAACTCTACGAGCAACTAAAGATTACTGCTATATGCTTTGAAAAGAGGAAAATTACACAGTAAAAGAATCTCAACTTAAAAAATACTCATTAGAAGATTTTTGACCCCAAATCAAAGCCTACCTAAATGTTCTAGAAAAACATTTTAGACTAAGCATCTTGACATGCTCATCACTGTCAGACCTGGCCATCTCGTGCAGACTGAGGGCAATGCATGCATTGATCAATGAAGATATTTTCCAGAACCATTTTCAGATTGCCCTCTTCATTGGATA